TTTCACTTTAATGGTCAATTTTCATGTAAAACAAAGTCAAATGAACACTAAACTTTGATGAAAAAATGATTTTCTACGAATTTTTTTTTTTTTTACTTTTTGGCAATGGAAACCAATTTTATAACCAATTGTGAAAAATTTTATCACTTTAATGAACAATTTTTATGTAAAACAAAGCCAAACGAATAGAAAATTTAAAAATTTTTCGGGTAGAAAATTATACCAATAAAATACACTAAATTAATAATTTCCAACAAAATAATTTCTAGGCAATTACTTTCCCTGAAATTCGTTTTCTTTCCACCCATTTTCCACAATTGCAATCAAAAGGATCCTAAGGGAAAAAAGGGTAACCACAAAGATTTAATTTGGCAATTTTTTACAAAATAAAAAATAAAAAATTGAAGTAATTGATTTTAGTTGTAACCGTAAATATGGTAAATGATTACGTTAAAGTTTCTTTCTTCATTTTGTGCTCAATTAAAACTTTCCTTGTATAACAAGATTAATTTTTTTTTTTATAAAAAAATTAGAACTTATAATTCTAGCCTTACTAAGTTGTTGTGAAAATTTATGCCTACAATATTTTATAAATAAGATGTTGGTCCAACTTATGTGTGTAAATGTGACCTTATCAGTATGAAATATGAAATATAAATGGTGTATAATATTATGTCAACTAAATTGTAATCGAAATTACTGAATGTTACACGTTGTGACTTAAAATATAAACGTCTAGCTGTGACCTTGTAAACAAATGTGGCAAAGTAAAATTCAACCAAAATTCACCGCGATTTGAGGGTTTTACAAAATTGGAGATTTGTCAGAACGGAATAATTGTGAGAATATAGGAATTGAGGGAAAATTGATAAAAGAGAAATAGTGTAGCATAATTTTTTTTGATATCTTAATTACTTAATTAATAAAACAACCTGAAAAATCAAGAACTGTGGAATTGAAGTATTTTTCAAAATGTAAAGTAAAAAACATGTCCTATCCTAATTTTCATAAATGGAATCAAATTTCTCTCTTGACCACTTTAGCCCCTTTTCACTTTTAACAACATTTGGATCATTTCTAGCATTAAATAAACAATTGAAATTTTCAATTGGTGAATTTGATAAAGAGTTTCTCATTACAAAAAGAAGTCCATTCTTCATTATCCCCCCCAGTTTCAGTTGTTGGGCTCCATAAAGTAAGCAACCCTCCTAGTGCAGGAAGTCATCATTTATAGGAAGTTGGATGAAATATGCACTTTAGTTACTCGATTGTCTACGCACTATGACTGAATGTTATGATATTGTTGTTATACGATGTTTACTCGATTGTAAGAGTAGATAGATGCTTCTCTTAGTTTGGGAATTAATTTCCAATCTAATGGATACCTCAAGATACAAAACGGAAGTATTGAAACCCAAGATCTTTGATCGTATAGATAAGAAGAAAACGACAATGCATCAAACTCCGTCAAACTCAATGAGGATTTTTTATGCTTTAACTGAGCAGGTATAACACGAACAAACATTTCACCCTTATATAACTGGGGTTTGGAATGACGAAACTAAGTAACGAGCTCGAAGTCGAACCAGTATAACTAATCTGCATATTATGTAGCATGCAATGAATGCAAGTGGTAAATGATCATCATGTTATTATTATAAAACATCCACTAATCTTTACATAATAATTAGGAACATTACATGTGTTGCTAAATCATCGTATTTCTACTAAGTTCAAATGGTAAATGATTGCATGAATTTTCTAAAATCAGAAAATAGAAAAAGCTTTAGACCTTCCATTAAAGCAAGTAGCGTGTTTCGAAAAACTTCACGTCTACATGTATAAAGTGTACATATATTAAATCAATGTTTAAATTGTCAATAAAGTGTCATACTAAAAATAATGTCAATAAAGTGCACTAAAAAGACTAAAATGTAGCAAAAATAAAGTCTTTAAATTTCTTTCCTTTCGCTTTCCCAACTTTCAAAACTGGGCTGTTAAGCAACATGAAAACACTCTTCTTAAAGCATCTTTACCTGATGATAAGTGTAGTATCACTTTTTATATACATATATCTACTACTTTTTTTCTGATTTTTTTTTTTTTTTACTCTTATCTTGTACCCTTCTACGTTGCACGTGCAAGTTCGCAGTCACGTGCCACACCTCCACTATAAAAAGACAATTAAAGAAAGAAAGCCTAGCTAACTAGGGTTAGGGGTTTTTTTTTTGTTTAAAATCATGTATATGGGACCAAATCATAAGACGACCAAGATTTTCCAATTCCACTTTTTTCTTCTCTAGACTAGATTTGAATAGAAATTTCAAAACAGCCCTTTTCTTCTTTCTGCTTAATTTAATATGCATGTATCACTACTCTTGTAAATAAAGCAAAAATTAAGAAGAAAATACTTTGTCAAACTTTATGTAGAAACTTTATCAGTATTTGATTGTTGGACAAAGGAAGAAGCAAAGTA